AAAAAATAAATAATTAACAAAACTTAATATAAAATACTAATTAATACATTAAAATTCTGATGAAAATACATGATAATTATAAAAACATAATAAAACCAATAATGTCTTTAGATGGTTTCATTTTAAATAAGGTTTTAATTAAATTCATGACGATTGATTCAAGAAAAAAATTGGTTTTATATTCGTAAGAATGTCATGGATTTAATTGAACTCTCATTTAAAGTGATATACCTAAACAACCGCTATTGTGACGGGTTGGAGATGCCGTTATGCCCATTTGTACCATGAATGCTCCCGGTGGCCTTGGCTTTTTCCCTAAGAACATATTTCAGAATTTTTCCGGTCGAATTCACGGGCAATTTACCGAAAGAAACGTTTATGGGTACCATACTCCTAGGCAACAATTTTTCTTCACAAAACTTGATGATGTCATTGCTGCTTAAAAAACAGTCTTCTTTTAATGTTACGAAAGCGGATGGAATTTCCCCGACGATTTTGTCGGCTTTTCCGACAACCGCAACTTCCATCACGAATGGATGACTTTTTATGACATGTTCGATATCGATGGTGCTAACAATCTCCCCTTTCGTGGTAATGCTATCCGATGCACGATCCTTCATAATTATGTCGCCGTTCGGGTTTCGAATCCCGAGGTCCCCGGTTCTGTACCAACCGCCATTAAAGGCCTTTTGTGTACCTTGTAGGTTTTTAAGGTACCCTAACATTACAACATTACCCCTAAACACCACTTCTCCGATGGTCTTCCCGTCCGATGGTACGCTGATCATCGTCTTTGTGTCCTTCACATCCACATCCTCCATTAAAATACTGTGAGTTCCTTCACGACATTTGATCCTCACACGCTCATCGTTATCGTCATCATTGGTCCTCAAAGTTCTATCAGTCATGGGTCCGAGAGCTTCAGTCATTCCGTACCCATGGTGAATATCGAACCCAAAGCTCTCAACTTTCGAAATGATTTCTGATGGCGGCAAAGGCCCTGCAACGATTACATCGACCCTGGTTGGAATCGGTCGTTGTTCACTGCTTTTCGAATTTGCAATCTTGTCTAAAAGAATTGGGGCACCACACAAGTGTGTTACCTTATGGATCACAATCGAATGAAAGATCACCTCCGATGTGGTTTCTCTTAGGCAAACATTGGTGCCACCCAATGCCGCTACCGCCCACGGGAAACACCATCCGTTGCAGCGAAACATGTCAACCGTCCATAAAAAAACCGGCATTTTCCTCATATCGTATCTAAAGATTACCGCTAGCGAGTTAAGATACGTCGCTCTATGGCTATACACAACCCCCTTCGGCTTCCCCGTTGATCCCGAAGTGAAATTTATTGAAATTGGATCACATTCATCGTTCGGGTGTATGATCTTGAAATCGGGTTTTCCTAAAGAAAGAAGATCATCGTAATCAAGAGTATTCGAAGGAACAATGGCGCAATTCTTTCCACCGATGAGAACGAGCCGCGGCGGTGCTGGTTTTCCCGACGACATTAAGTTGAATGCTTCAAGTACAATTTGGATGAATTGATGATCTACAAAGATGATTTTAGGTTCCAATAGTTGGAGGATGGCAGTTAAGGTGGATGGATCGAGCCTTGTGTTGAGAGCAGAAAGGACTGCACCCGCCATTGGAACCCCAAATTGAAGCTCGTAAAGGGCAGGTATGTTTGGGGCCAAAGCTGCAACCTATAAAAATGGTTAAAACTCAAAATTGTCGATTTTTGTTATATTTTGTTTTTAAAAGGTGAAATCGGTACAATTATATATATATATATATATA